GTTGTAAACAAAGACGGTGCAGAGGGTTCAATTACTTTTAAAAGCAAGCAAAGTCACAATTTGAGCACCACAGGCTCAGCTGTCCCAAGCTTTACGGCCACATTTCAGGCTTTCAAGGCAACTCTCTAATATACCGTCACATGTCAAACATCGGCGTGACTCACCGCTGCTCGCTTCAATCACTTATTTCAAAATTTGAGGAAAGTTTCCCCCTCACCTACCAACTTTTTCTGCCATGTCTGCAGGTGTGTGGATGCAGCTTCATGATTTTACTTTAAGAGGCACAAAGACATGTTTCCCCCCCTTTTCCCACATTTGTGTAAGATTTTCTACTTCAGAGTACAAAATTAGCGGCGTGAGCAATTCAACGAATCACATAAGCAGAATTTAGTTAAAGGCACAGGTGGATGGCTTAAAGCTGCGGGTGTGGTGCCAAAGGTTAACTTTACTGACTCTTCTGTTGTTTCTTTTTTACTTCTCTGTAGTATCACATCAAAACTTATTAATGTGATTCAGTCAGCTCTGAAGCGTGTTCCTGTTCCTCGTGTCACTGAATGTAAATATGGAGCTTTGCAGGCGGCTGACAGTCGTCATCTTTCGGGTTGTCCATACACGGAAACAGGGTGGCACAGTAACTGTTCACTAACATGCAGCCTGGTAAATAATTGTGTTGTGCTGCTGTTGTGTGTCCTAAAGGCCAGCCATCACACAGATGTCAGGTTTATGAGGTTCTCTGGATCTTGCTCCACAGTCGTCATCGGTTTCTACCAGAGGTCGTCCTCATTATCAGAGCTTAATGTTTCTCCTTCAGCTGCTTCTCACTGATGTGAAGTCAACATGTTACCCTGTGATTATGTTATTCAGGTTAGTGGATATTATCTCGTGTGCGCTGCTCAGTACGATGCTGGTGCTGGCATCTGTGCGCACGAGTTAGCTCAGTGTTGGATCACATGCACAATTGTTCTCCCGCTGGCACATTTTTGTGATGACTAATTTGCCCTGTGATAAATCTGACCCCGAATCTCTAGTCCTGTTCAGACTCCAGAGGTACTGGAGGTACCTACATTTCCCACGATGCACCAGCTCTGCTTTAAAGTGATTTGTTTACAATCTGTGTGATCAGCTGGCTGTTTACATTATCTGAAATGGTAATGCTGAGCTGCAGCCCAGCAGGTGGACACGAACATATCTGTACCCTTCAGTTTTTAATCAGCTGACTGTAATTAGTTGAACGAATGTGGGAGGGATCAGCGCTGCAGAACGCAGAGCGCTCCGTCCCACCTTCAGGTCAGTAGAAATGTGCTTGCTTTGCTGCTGGTGCCAGTGTTGTTGTTAAGTAGCCATTTGAAAGTCTCCTCTGCTCTCAGTGAAAACAATGAAGAGAAATCAGCAGCAGCAGTAATGCACCCAGCTGTTCGTCTGCAGTACCTGCTGTCTGCATGTCAAAAGGTGTCCCCGAGGCCTCGTTCCCTTTGATCCCCCGTCACGTATCCCACCGCACTCTGTAGATATCAGGCTGAGTCTCCCTCCGCAGGTACCGGGATCAAACGCGTTCGCTGCTCGTCCTCTCCTGAATTTAGAAAACCATCATCTGAGCTGGCAGGAGCAGCTGGAGGCTCTGCGGGTTACAGCCGCTCTACTCTCTGAATGTTCCTTTTAAATTGGCGCACTTCTTTCTGTAAACCAAACTTTCCCTAGATTCAAATCTGCCATGTTCATTTTCTTACAAATATAACAAGTTGACTTTTTTTTATGAGGTTTTGTTAGAACACGAGTCCGTGTGGAGAGGGACAGCACAGGCCTTAAAGTTTAATAAAAAAAAAGGTGTTTCCAAAGCTGCATGTCAGCGGGTGTATTTATTACATGGACGATGGAGGCTGCTGCCTAACACGAGCGCAGCGTCCTATCATGTGATGCAATGATTTTATTTGATTTTTT